GGACATATTTTTTGCATTTTGCACTTTATGATATCTAACCAATTAGATCTATCACTAAGAACTGATTAAAAAAATTGAAGAGGAAAATATATAAATAAATATTGTAGATCATTTTCACTGTCAAGTTAATTTGCAATAAGCAATAAGCGGTTTTTTTTTTCAAGCAAAATATTTTCAAAAAGCCACGGTCAAAATAGTCTACCAACACTTTATCAGTAAACAAATTTTGGACGAAAAAAAATCATAGACCAATGTTAATCTACTAGATTATCTACTAAATCTATTCAGTGATAAATTTACCATTTTATTTCAATTCAAAATTGTGTTCATTTCTCAAGTATAGTTTATGATTGATCATTCCATCAAACGTAAAATAAAATCGGGTTTGCATTTCAATTCGCTGACAAATAAACACGAAGAAAAAAATACCATCATTCTCGATACACAAAAGCGAACAGATTTTTTTTCCTCTTGAAAACATGAAATATTTGCACCGAATAGCATTTCAAAACATCCACTGTTCTACATTAACAATTGAACATTTGATATTTTTCCTACTTTGTAGTAAAGAATTTTTCTATCTGAAATATCGTTTGGAGAAATAAACCAAGAGAACTTTTTTTCTTTCAATCTAGAATAAAAAATCTAAAGTGAAGTTTATTCTCAATATTTTTTCAGACATGTCCAATAAAAAATTGATCTAAATCCATTTTTTTACAGGCAAAATATTAACATCATATTGAATGTATATTTTACAAAAAAATAAATCTAGATCTAACAAAACATTTCGCTAAAATATTTTAAATCGCTATTCAACTGACTTTCTGTATTCCGTAAATTTGACAAATAATTGTGTCTATCTACTAAAATATTCACACCATATTAAGTCTACATTTAACAAAAAATAAATCAAACAAAACAGTTCGCTAAAATATCTTAAATCGCTATTCAACTGTACTCTGTAAACTTGAAAAATAAACTTGTCTATCCTGCCTATCAATAAGAAAATATCCATCTTGTTTATATGCTTTAAAAAAATATTAACCCAACATTACATCGTCAAAAGATTCAATTTGAAATTCAACATAAGACTCCATATAAAAACTAGGGAAAATAAAAAACAAAAAACCAACAACAACTCACGAAAAATCCCAAACTTCAATCTCTCCAAAAATTTCATTTTTAAAATAAAATACATTGAATTCTTTTTAAAAAAAATTTGCCAGAGTGAAAAATATAAACAAAAGTCACAACCTATAAAATTAAAAAAATAAACCCGTAATTAATTTACCTTAAAAATTAAATTTTTTAAAACAGCAAATTTTTAAAACGGGCCAAAATTTTAAAAGCCCAGCTTTTTATTTAAACCCGTTTGAAGTTTTCCCCAATTTTGAAACTTATTAGACAAAATTATGAACCCTCCAATTTTTATTTTTTTTAAAAATACAAAAGGGGAGCAATTTGCGCCATAAATTTGTCCCATAGAAATATTTTTGTGTATCATTGAAAAAATCTCAAGATTTTTACAATAAAAAAGAGTAAATCAAAAAAAAAAGAGGAGAAATATACCGACTGTGCCGTATTTAGCCTAAATACTGAAGAAAATCTAAATAAAAACAATAGACGACCTCTTTTACATACATTTTACGTTTACGAAGGGTTTATTCATTTTCTGAGTAAACTTGTCACATTTTGTCCAATACTATACTGTCATTTCTAAAGTAAAAGCAAATTTACTGTAAATAAGCTTATTCAGTACGGGTTTTGATAGCACCGGATTGTATCCCCTTGATTATCAAGCGTCGTTTGTTTGACTTTGTTATTGTGAGAAATGCAGAAATGAAAACGTTTATTTTCAACGGATTCCTTGGGCGTTTCAAGAAAAATAAAAGGTAAGAAAATTTGTTAGATCGAGTTAATCATTTGCTATTAAAACTAATAACAACTTCATATAAATATCTACTTGTTTTATTGATTTCATGCACTGTGTCAACAAAAATGTAAACAAATGTTTTTATCATGCTTGTTGGATGATACAACAGTTTGACATTTTCACTTTGACATTTGAAATATTACATCAATATTAGTCAGATACAATGAAAATTGTTTCTGCAAAGTTGCCAGGGTGCTTGAAAGACTATTTCAATTTGACCAGAAATGAATTTGTCTGTAGAAAAAAACAGCAGCTGACATAATAGATAAATTAATACTGACTCTACTATTGATTTCTTTTCTGATTTAAAACATACGAAGAATAGTTTAAGAATACAAAATGAAATATCTTGATCATTTGTGTAACAATTGAGTAAAACACTGAATTATCAGAAATACAGGCCTGTCATGAATGAAAATATATGAATATTTATTTCATACAGAAATTTGCAAGTATTCAAAGCAAAACACACCCTGTAACTAGCATACTGACTTGAAGAACAGGACAGATTAATCTTTTTCAATGACAGCATCAAGTAGCTCTTCTATTTATTTTCATTTGCATGCTTTTTCATGAAACACACAGCAAATTTCAATACAAGTTTGAATAATTAATACAGGTACATATCTCAAAATTTCTCACAAATTGTGTTTTTGATGCCATATGGCATTTGTTTTTGATGTAATTGTTTCTTTTTATACCCCATGTCAGTGTATATGCATTTTGTCTCCTTTATTTCTTACATCATTTCTAAATTTCTAAAACTATTTTCAGAAACATGGTCAAAATGTTGGTGGTAACTAAGATGAACAATTGAAAAACATTAGTGGCTGGAAAAAAATCAAGTCATGTGCAGTGACTAGAATGAATACAACACAAATTATCAGGTAAAATACTTTTTTTCAAATAAATTGATAAGTATTTTGGTCATTTATTTGCTAAACTTGACATGTTCACTCTGGAAAATGAAATTTTGTATGTGTTTGAACATGCTAAGATAAAATTGTAGGTGATTTTCAAAATTATAAGACAAAGTCAAAAGACACACTTAACATTTAATGTCAATATTTTCTTTTTCAGATTGGAATCTTATGTAGTATTGAGAGTGGATTTTTTTACAATGGACCAGACCTCATGACAAATGTACAGCTGATGGTAATAACAAATGTTCTCTTTGTGCTGCTATTTTATCCAACAGTATTTGACTGTTATGATAAGTTTTGAATTTTTTTCACCATACTTGAATTACATCATCCAATTTGACACACACCTGTAGATTGTTCTTGCTTCTTTCACATTATTTGACAAAGTAAACAAAAACAGGAAATTGACTGTAAAATATTCATTTTTATCAATTTGGAGAACTTTTCTATGTTTTTCACCATGTATCAATATTAATCTAAGCTGAATTGTTGTTCAAATGAAGATCTATAAGCCTATTATTGACAAATAGGTGAACAAAATCTTTCTATGACATTGAATACTGTATATTGAAAATATATTTATCATTGTTATCATTGTTAGACATTTATTTCATTCATTCAACCAGTCAGATAGTGTCAAACTGAAATTTATGTGCTTGTTTTGTACAATAAACTGGATGTAAATCAATGAAATCACTGAATGGTAAAAAAAAATGTGTTCCCTGAGTGACAAATAATCTGGCCTGTGTAAGAAAAGTCATTTTCAGGAGCAAATATTGTAAAACAAGCTATTCCGCAATCTTATTTTGTCTTTTTTTATTTGCTGAAGAACATATATTTTGTAAAATCAAATAAAAATGCATATCGTATTTTACTACTAGTTCATTTCTATACTGTTTCATGAGTTTTGAAGCAAATATCCATGTCCATTGAGACAAAAAATCTGAAGTACTGCTGTTTTTCTTCAAAATCTTTGACAGAATCTTGTATAATTTTTTCAGACCTTGTTCCAGGTCATTTTCACCTAGCTCAGCATTATAGTGTAGCCTTGCTTTCATTCAAGAGGTCACAGTTGCTCCATTTATGTGCATGTTAATGTTATACTTGTTATACTTTGACTCAATGTCAGTCCATTTTACATTCTTTAATCTTATTCATTTTATGATTAGCATATAAAACACTGGATTTATTTCACTAAATTGATAAATGTTTTACATATTTTTTTTATTTTATAGTTTCAATGATTTTTTTTTTGTTTTCAGGTTGAAAAGGACAGTTAGCACACAAAAGAATCTTCAGATATTTGTGAATGCTGGAAATGTGATGTATGAAGATTTTTGTTGACATTAGTACTAAAATGTATTATTAAATAACTAAATAAATATGTGATTTAATGTAAAAAGAATTAATTTACCGGGAATAATGGCAAGCTAGAATTTTATTGCGTGTCTCTCTGAAATCTTTAAGTTCAGGTTCAAGATTGGTATGGACATTTTACTTTATAGATTAAAAGAAAATGTATTTGTGAATGCTGGGATTGTGATGAATGAAGATTTTTGTTGACATTAGTACTAAAATGCATTATTAAATAACTTAATGAATATGTGATTGAATGTAAAAAGAATTAATTTACCGGGAATAATGGCAAGCTAATATTTTATTGCGTGTCTCTCTGAAATCTGTTGAAATTCATTATTGCCCGTCTCACTGAAATCTATTGAAATTCATTATGTTCAGGTTCATGATTGGAATGAACATTTTATTTTATAGATAAAAAGAAAATTGAAAGCTTGAAGAACATCCAAATCGTCAGAATTATGATTGCAGTTTCGGTTTGATTGATCCTGTTCTTGGACGACACTCGGGTAAACCATATCTACTGTCCAACGGCAGAACTGAAAATTGTTATTAACTATCACTCTTTAACTGATGTCAACTACTTAATGCTTACAGGCGACTGCTTAATGCATATTGTTAATTGATAAATGCCAACTGTCACACCTGCCAAATACCCGATTAAATGCCTGAAAGTAAATTTCTGTTTTTTACGTCCTTCTTCCAATGTGTTTATATGTTATACTGGGGACCTTTATAAACAGTACTGGTCAAAGAATTACTCTGTATCATAGATGAAGGCTTTGACTGATAAAACCTTGGCATTTGTTACATTTATACATGTATAATTCTTGTGTTACTAAGCAGAAAGATAGGTATATATATATGCAGACTTTAGGAGCTTATAAAAATGTTATCAAACCAAATGAAACCAGTTTTTCTATCATTAACTCTTGTTCTTTAATTTTAAGCTACCAATCATAACTGCTCTCTTAATTAAAAAGTGCAGGTATATCTCCGTTAACGAACAAACTGGTAAAAGACAGTCATTTAGATCAGCTACCATGTAACATTTATATTATAATATTTGATAATGATCCTACCCTATAACTATAGAGCTTAATGTTATTTTTGACCGGAGGCCTGGTAGTGCCATAAAGGTCGTTGCTAATTCCGTGGTATGACGCATTTCTTTACTTCATGTAGCTCTATGCTTTCAAGAGTTGGCGAAGAATTCAAAGAGAAGTTTGGTCTGAAGTTTACAATAATTTTTAAATATTTACGTTAGTTTCATGAAAATCGTAGATTTGGTACATTACCTTGGACATAATATTAATTAAAATGGTAAAGATATTTTCTGTATTTTAACTGTAAAAATTAAGTTTTCACTGCAGTGAAACATGTACTGTATTCCGTATTTTGACGAACTACTTAGTTTCTAAATCCAGCCAATACACAAAGCTAAAGGGAAAGTCTTGCGAATCGTCAGGTCAAAAAAAGAGAAAAGGTGCATAATAAACAGAAAATATAAGTTTCTTTTATAAATACGGGATTAATTTTATCTTATGGTATGAAATTTGTTATATTTTTCTCTAATAAAGAAAGTTTGCAGTATTATGAATTAATTTTAAAGATTGTTGACAGGTTATATGACGTTGGAATATAGAATCTATATAAATGTGCAAACAACCGTTTTTATAGGGCCATATAACCTGTCAAAAATCTTTAATTTAACTAGATCTAATAATATACTACTAACCATGACATCCGCTCGAAATAATCAAGGAAATGCAGGATTACGCGTAGAAGAAGCAAAATTCCTTGTTTAAATCAACAATTGCATGTTACTAGTTTCCTACTTGTTAACAATACCAATGTATTTGCATTTCTCCAGCTAGAAGGTGTAATTTCATTTTTCGAAATGAGGTTTAAACATGTATAATTAACTAGCTTTTTGAGATCAACATGACTACAATCCTCACAGCTGTGCAAATGGGCAGCGAACTGCAAAAAGTAAGCTTAACATAACGTTTGCTTCGATTTTACTTTACAACACCACGGATCATTCAGCATTATAGCATTGCATTAACATTGTACAAACCTATGATAACCACGGTGGTGAACTGACTCGGACTTTTTATCTCCTCAGATTTTCTTTGATTCGGCAAAGAATTTTTTTCAATTAAAGTCATTACAACAATGGACAGTGCTAGTTAAATTCTGACTGATTTTGACATAACTACACTTAAACTATTCAATTTATAATTCCACGGAATATTGAACTGTGTATCCTACACGTACATGCATATACTAAAATAGCCCTTGTATTTCTTGTACAAGGTCAAACTGATAGAGGTAGCGAGCAGTGCATCTCTATCATTCCGAAATATAAATCATACATTAATACGACATTTTTAGACTGATTTTAACAAGGTCAGTAATTGTGGTGTATTTATTTTTTGTCAATTGTCAGAGTTGTTTCCCTTCGACCTTTAAATACAGTATTATAATGTAAATCCTACTGGACTATTAATGTAAAGTTTATGCAGAATTTCAGTCATCCGGCTGAATTTTATCAATAGGCTATGCCATGTAACACCGCACTTTGGGGTCAAACGCACTTTGGGGTCCAACCCCAAAGTGCAGTAAACTTCACAGCGCACTTTGGGGTCAAACGCACTTTGGGGTCAAAATCCAGAAATGAACCACAAAGTGCGTTGATAGGCTACATATTAACGCACTTTGGGTTCCATCGTTCTAAAAATGTTAACCGAATTCTGCTTAAATACTGAGAACTGACTTATTTTTTATCTGCAATTTTGAAATATTTAAGGTGAATCGAAGATTTATGAAATAATTAATAAAATACACTCACTCTGACGTGTGTTTACACGAATAAATCCGCCATTAGTCCGTATCGCATGATTTCATCTCGCTTTCAGGAGTATCGCACCGCTATACGTTCGACCCCCTGATTAATGTAAATGTAAAATGAACGGCCAATTTTAAAATCAAAAGAGAGCCAGTATTGGTCGTCATTTTTCATTAATGATTATACATTTAATCAGGTAAGAGAAGACAGAGGAGATGGTGGACTAGAGATTGGCTTTTACGAAGACCCCCTTCATGGCCAGTATGAGGCTCTTGTGGCCGAACTTGTTCCTGAGGATCCGGCGTCCTACAAGAAATTCATTAGAATCGAACCTGATATATCTTGGGGGATCGAACGCGATGAGACCAAATCCTCTCCGCAAGGATCATTGAACGCTGCAATTCGTTTTCAAAATGTTCTTTTCTTGTGAAGCATTTTGAAAATGAGCGTGCAAGAGGTTGTAGACGGATATATAATAGGTCCGTATAGATCCGTGGCAATTTGTTTTTCCCCGTATCAGACCGTACTTACTCGTACTAACCCGTGCTTATACAGTAGCAGACCGTGTGTCCGTCCTGATTCGTGTCGCTTGGTATCAAACTATGTCTGTCCGTAACAATCCGTGTCTCTCCTGGGTCTTTTAGCTACATTTTGGCGGTAAATCCGTCGAACTCCGTACTCATACCGTTGTGTCTCCGTACTGGAACCGTAGCGGACTACGAATTTCACATTTTTGTAGTAATCTGTGAACGATTAATCCGTAGCTCTTTCGTAGCGTTATCCTTGAATATGTGGCCGGGAATTAAAGACAAATATGTTTAAACCGATCAATGTAAAAACAAAATAGCACGGGAGAAATGATAAGTTTAGTTATGTTAGTCAGTAATAACGTAATTAAAATAAGGGATTAATATTTGCGTGAAATTAATATGATTGCGTGTGTACGTTATTTCCATAAACTTTTAGGCAGCTGTTGCAAGGCGCATAGAGATTTCATTTTGCATTTAGATAACAGTCTAATTAATCAGATGATTGTATTCATCATAATAATTATCACGTTTATTTTTATTTTGTTTACCATTTCTTAATATCATGGCAAATTGTGTCAACAACATAAATCGTTGCTGTTGTTAACGACAGACTCAGTTCTTTAAATTTTAAATAATTTATATAACTCCATGAGAAAAAATAATCTTATGTCTGCCTTACAGGTCTGGTTGAGGATGTACAAACGCAATTTTAATAAATGTTACAGCTATAAAATAACTTATAAAATAACTTACTCCTTGAACATCTGGTTGCATGTCTTAAATTACTCTAAGTGTATTACAAACAATGCTTATTTTGTGTTTCTATTGTCCTTTCGATAAAACACGCTTCGTATACCTACCATATGTGCATTTATTTATATAACCTATTGTAACTTAATATTTTATACGTCAAAATAGAGAAATGTTTATGAACAGGGTGCAGCATGTGCACACAATGTGCACTAAAATCTGTAATGTTTAAATATAAAAAGAAAAAACACATATGAAAGAGCCAACAGCTTAAATGTATATGATATATTGAGCAGCGTCACGACAAAACCATCATAATGGGTTTGCGACCAGCATGGATCTAGACCAGCCTGCGCATCCTCGCAGTCTTTTCAGGATCCATGTTGTTCGCTTACAAACCTAATAACAAGTAGAACAGCATGGATCCTGATCAGACTGCGCGGATGCGCAGGCTGGTCTGGATCCATGCTGGTCGCAAACCCATTATGTTGGTTTTGT